TCATGTTATTGGGAGTGGCAGCATAGCTCCGTTAGACTCACACACTCAAGCCATCCTACAGTATCCACAGCCTACCACCAGGAAGCAGCTCCTGCGCTTCCTTGGTCTTGCCTCTTACTACCGTAGGTTTGTGAGGAATTTCAGTACAGTCGCCACACCTCTAATTCTATTAACCAGTCCCAAGCAACGGTATAATTGGACCATGCAGCAAACCGTTGCTTTTGAACAACTCAAATTCCTCCTCTGTTCTAACCCCATTCTCGCCTCTCCAGATATCACCAAGCCTTTCGTCCTTCATGTCGACGCCAGTGGTACCGGCGTTGGTGGTGTCCTGATGCAACAACGAGGCGAGGAGGTTCTACCTGTCAGCTACTACAGCTACAAACTGAAACCACACCAGAGGAACTACAGCACTATTGAAAAGGAGCTACTATCTATCGTCCTGAACCTCCAACACTTCGCTCCGTACCTACAAGGCGCCAGGTCTACCACCATCTTCTCAGACCACAACCCTCTCCGCTTCCTACATCAAGCCCAATTCACCAACCAGCGTCTTCTACGATGGGCTCTGTATTTACAAGACTTCAACCTGGAGATCCGCTATATCAAGGGTTCTGACAACACCATAGCCGATGCCCTCTCCAGAGTTTATGAAGTAGAAGCGACTCCATCCATTACTCCACCACATAACGACGTACTTCTTCCAGAACCGCAGGCTTCGGGGGAGAGTTGTGACGATAATCTCCTTCAAGAGATTGAGCCTGCTCTTCCCTCCAAAATTACGTCTTCACAATTATATAAAAAGACTATGGAAGAAATGTCCAACAACGACAACAACACCAGCACCAGCAAGGCTTGCCAGGGTGAGCAGAAACGTATGCAACCAGCCACCTGTTCGAACTCCAACCACCAAACTACCCGTTGATCGCTACGGCTCCGCTGATTGGTCGCCGGTCTGGCTGCACCTGCACTCGCCCCCAATACTACCTGATGTCTGGGGTCGCCCCAACATCAGTCCTCAGAATGTTCCGTGCTTTCGTAGCCAGCACTCCTCCCAGCTAGACGTTAGCGTGTACTGAGAGAGGTGGTGGCTTTAAGCCAATATTCCAGCACCTCCCACTTACCTTTTGTATTGCACTTCTTGTTATTTTGCCTTAACGTAACTTTTCATTGTGTCATTTAATTATTCTTATTATTTTGATTCATTGATTTTATTATAAGAATTTGTTTGTGCATTATTTTCATGTTTTGATTTATTTAACGTAATTAAAATTTCATTGTTAAAGTTTTACTTGTGTTTTGTGTGTCTTCTCCTTACCTTACCACAGACGAAGTTCCAGTTTTTCTATTTTTTTTTATAACTATGTGACGAGGCCATACCCCTAGCCTTAAACAGCCGAACACCAACGCGTTACCGTCACAATATGTATAATACACATGAGAGAATGTGCAGTGACTTAATATCTAACATATCCAGAGATTTGAGTAGGGGTACCGAGTGATGTCTGGGGCCAGAGTTGGATATTGTCCTAATAGCAGCTTTGTGTTGAGTAATTAGAGGATGTAAATGATTTTGGGTAGTAGAACCCCAAGCACAAATACCATAGTTGAGATATGGATAGATGAAGGAGTAATAGAGAGTCACCAGGGCAGGGCGGGGTACATAATATCTGATCTTAGAAAGAATGCCAACAGTTTTTGAAACTTTTTTTGATATATTTAGAATGTGTCCCTGGAAATTCAGCTTGTGGTCAATGAGAATGCCAAGGAATTTGCCATCTAATTTGTTACAAATTTGGGTATTGTTTATTTTGAGATTTATTTGATTAGAGGATTTATTGCCAAACAGAATAAAGAAAGTTTTGTCAATGTTAAGGGTGAGTTTGTTGGCAGTTAGCCAAAGATGGACTTTATTTAGCTCAGTATTTACTGTGGCATTTAGAGCAAGGGGGTCAGGACTGGAGTAAATGAAGGTTGTGTCGTCAGCAAATAGAATTGGTTTGAGGTGTTGGGAGGCATTTGGAAGGTCATTAATGTAGATGAGAAAGAGGAGAGGGCCAAGTATGCTGCCCTGAGGAACACCAATGTTGATGGGTAGGGTGGGAGAAATTGAATTATTCACAGAAACATACTGGAGCCTGTCAGTACGGTAAGATTTGAGGTATTGCAGGGAGTGTCCTCTGACTCCATAATGATGTAATTTAAGAAGAAGGTTTTGGTGGTTGACAGTGTCAAAAGCCTTACGCAGGTCCACAAATAACCCAACAGGGAACTCATTTTTATCAAGAGCTGTATGAATCGAGTTAAGCATACTAATAAGTGCATCGTTAGTGCTTTTTTTGGGTCTGAAGCCATATTGGCAAGGGCTAAGTATATTGTGTTTGGCTAGATAAGAGTAAAGCTGCTTGTAGATTAGTTTTTCAAAAAATTTTGACAAGTTTGGCAGGATTGATATAGGTCTGTAGTTGTTAACATCTGTGAGATCACCACATTTGTGGACAGGCATTACTCTCGCTTTTTTTAGAATATCTGGAAAGGTTTGGAGTTCAAGTGACTTGTTGAAGAGCAATGCAATAGCAGGGGCTAAAGATCTGGAGGTTTTTTTGTAAATTAAAGTTGGTATCTCCTCAAGGGCACTAGACTTGGTTTTAAGGGAAAGGATTATCTCATTGACGTCAGTGGAATTATTAGGCTTTAGGTACAGAGACTGTGGATAGTTACCTGTAAGATAGTCCTTAACGTCAGTACTGGAAGATGGAATATCATTTGCAAGGGATGAGAAGAACCTATTGAACTCAATAGCAGAATCTGAGGCTGAAAGTTGACCATCGTTATTGGACAGGAGTGTTGGTTTGTTATTTAAAGTCTTTCTTTGATCCCAATATTTGTGAAATTGTGCTCCAAGTTTTTTAATGTTGCTCTTTATTTGGGTAAATTTATCTTCGTAGTATTTAGTTTTGGCTCGTCTAATTATCTTAGATAGCAATAACGAGTAATTCTTTGAGAATTCTTTGGAGACAATTCCTAACCTATACTTCTTCTCAAGGTCATGTTTTTTATTAATGGATTTAAGTATTCCCTTTGTAAGCCAGGAATTGTTAAGCCTTTTGGTTGTGACTTGTTTTGTAAGCATAGGACAGTGGGTGTTATAAAAGCTAAGAGTTTTTTGAAGAAAAGATTGCACTGCTAGGTTGATGTTCCCTATGTTACCTAACTCGGACTCCCAGTTGACATTATCAGCAGCAGTTATAAAATTGTCTATAGCAGTTTCATTGTGCAGCCTAAAACTTAACTCCCTTGACTCTAGAGGTGGTTTGCTAATGTTAGTTAAGAGAAATGTGGGGTAATGGTCTGTAGTGCTATCGGTGATTATACCTGAAGTAAGCGGAGAGGTTATGTTTGTCCATATGTGATCTAGAGTCGTCGCAGTACTATCAGTGATTCTAGTAGGTCTAGTGATTAAGGGTATGAGGAAGCAGGAATTCATAGTGTTGAGGAAGCTAACAGCAGTAGGGTGTTCAGGCTCGCAGAGGTCAATATTAAAGTCCCCTGCGATAATTAGATGGTTTTTGTTCAGTCTGTTATCGAGTATTAGATTTCTAAGGTTTGAGTTGAATTCGGACACATCAGTGTTAGGAATTCTATAGACTACACCCACAGACAGGACAGACTCGGCACCCTTGACTCTGAAGCTGGCGAAGATATACTCCCCACAGCAGTCTCTAGTTCTAATTTCTTTTAAGCATGATAGTTCTTGGTGGTAGTAAAGAGCAGTGCCACCACCTCTCTGAAGTTGACGACAGTTGTGAATTGCCGAGTAGTTAGGCATGTTAAAGAGTTGAGTAGTATCCTCTTTCAACCATGTTTCAGTAAGTATAATAAAAGAGAATTTGTTGTCAATAGTTTCAATCAAGGCACTAACATCATCGAAGTGTTTACCTAGGGATCTAACGTTCAAGTTGATTACAGAGATATTGTGATTATGAGTTAATACATTGTTTACATCATGTGCTGCAAAATATCTGCAATTTAGATAATTAAAGTGATGATTGTCATAGATAGTGGATAAGAGGTTTAGTTCTGGGTCTATACTTGTCTGCATAAAAAAGCTGGTTGCAGGAAAACAAGGCAAGAAAGGCAAATTACAAAGTAAAATTAAGCTATAAAAGGGGGAAAAATATATAAACAATACTATACAAAACAAACACAAAACTCCCTTCAGTTTTTTACTATAGACTGCCATGGTAAGCAGATCATCATCACTGACCACCTGAAATATAATGTAATAGCAGCACATTGACTGCTCTGGTCATCCCTCTAGACACACTTCCACCAATGAGGGACAACAATTTTCTTTCCCCAACAGGTACTTTCCCCCCTTCAACACCCTCTGTCTAGCCAGCACCAGCATTAGCACTAACATCTGCACTGCCACTACCTTTGCCAGTGCCTTATTTATTCCAGGAACCTGTGCCAGCCACTGAGCCTGTGCAAACTCTTACTCTGCCTTAAGTTGGACAACACCACTGAGGATAACCTTGACATGGAGGGCAATACAACACTGGTGGGGGCTGGTCAGAAGAGTGCATTGTTGCAGAGTTGTTACTCCTGGTTGAAATGTGATGACACTATTTCTGCTAGGCTGGTCTCCTCAGCCTTATATAACTGGCAGTCACTGATCAGTGCTTGCTGATTCATTAAGAAGCATCTTACTCCCAGGAAGTGTGTGTGGCCATAAGAAACAGTGGAGGCACTGTGGATGCTGATATAGCTGCTACCGGTCTTTACATAAAATTCAAATTTTGCAAAGTTACTGAAGAGAAACCTTGGTTAATTTTGTCAAGTTTTTAGCAGCTGGTAATTGGTAAGGTAGGCAATTATAACCTATCTCCAGATATGCTAAAAGTATTTTGAAATTAATCACAGCAACATATTTGAATTTCTGTTTTTTATTATTTCATCTTGGTGTTAAATTCATCCAAAAATAAATTTCATTTCAGAATGTGTTGGGATTCATGGTAGTGGTCGACGGGTGGTGATGGAAGGTGCTCGGTACCCATTTGGCCTCACTCTCCTGGGTCAGGAATTCTTCTTCACTGACTGGAATGAGTGAGTTACTGAGATAACTTTGAAAAATTATTCATGTAATTTAGTGTGTGTGTACAGCTGGGAGGGGAGGGCTAGTGTGGGGGATGAGGAGATGGAGATAGCATTGAGGGGCCAGTGTGGGGTATGGGGGGTCTTGGGGAGGGACCGGGGATGACCAGCTCCTGCATTAGTCCTAGTCAGATGCTGGTCCACTCACTCCACCGCCCATTGCTACCCACCTACCCACTCTGACCACCCGTCCTGCTACTCACCGACCCACTCTGACCACCCGTCCTGCTACCCACCCACCCACTCTGACCACCCGTCCTGCTACCCACCCACCCACTCTGACCACCCGTCCAGCTACCCACCCATGCACCCACTCTGACCACCCGTCCTGCTACCCACCCACCCACTCTGACCACCCATCCTGCTACCCACCCACCCACTCTGACCACCCATCCTGCTACCCACCCACCCACTCTGACCACCCATCCTGCTACCCACCCACCCACTCTGACCACCCGTCCTGCTACCCACCCACCCACTCTGACCACCCATCCTGCTACCCACCCACCCACTCTGACCACCCGTCCTGCTACCCACCCACCAAGACCACCTGTCCTGCTACCCACCCACCCACTCTGACCACCCGTCCTGCTACCCACCCACCCACTCTGACCACCCGTCCTGCTACCCACCCACCCACTCTGACCACCCGTCCTGCTACCCACCCACCCACTCTGACCACCCGTCCTGCTACCCACCCACCCACTCTGACCACCCGTCCTGCTACCCACCCACCCACTCTGACCAACCATCCTGCTACCCACCCACCCACTCTGACTACCTGTCCTACTACTCATCTGTCCACCCACTGTCTCCTGACCACCCTGCTACTCACATGCTCTGTGCCTGCCCTGGCACCCACCTTCTTAGTCTACCATCTGCCACCCACTTGTTCTGTTCTGCCCGCCCTGTTACTCATCCATTCACTCTTATCACCTGCCCACCCACTCACCCTCCACTGGTTCTTCCCTTACATGATTATAGGGTTGGTATTTCTAAAAGATTTTTTTCCCATCCCCCCACCCCCCACCAGCTTTCCTGTCCCACTCACCTACCATCCATCCAGTTCCTCCACCATCCATTCATCCAGTCCCCCCCCCCCATCCATCTACCCACCCATCTAGTCCTCCCACCATCCATCCTGTTGTCCTCCCAAAGACAATATTCTAGTGTGATTGACACTAGGTGGGTAACACTGGTAAACCAAAGCGCAGTCGCCCATGCCACCACGAATCACTTGCTCAGTTATCCCACACTTGTATTGACAAACTTGCCACTTGAGGCAAAAGTCATAAGTAAAGTAAAAAAATTCCAATGAAATTGGGGTCGTAACTCAAAAAATTCATAAGTCGAGGTTCCACTATACTTATACAGTACTTCATATTTTATATAGTGTCTACTCTCATTTATCTGGATTATAGCCAAGAAGTTTTGGTATACTGTGACACAACTTAATACAGGCATACAGTACCTATTTTAACTGATTTTATGTAAATATTTTGCCAAAAAAAAGACTTTCAAATAATGGATTTCCTTTACTGTTCTTAAGCCAAATAAATAATTTGACCAAGTTAATTGTTGTTAGAAAATCTTTACCTAAGATTTACTGATGTCACTATTTATATCTCCACCCCTGATGGAACATACACAGTAGCTCACTTATTTACCCATACAGTAATGTCAGTGTATGAAATAGAATATATTTAGATTATAAACACTGCACAAGAGAATTTGCTCTCTCTCTTTTACATTATAAAAAGATATACTCGTTATCCTGACTTTTATACAGCATTATTTATATATTTTCTTACAGTACAAAGATCCATACCATTAATCGCTACTCGGGATTAGAGTCTCCTGTTCGGGTCCCCCCTCCTGGAGGGTCTGGTAAACTATATGGCATTGTTGCAGTTCCTCCCACATGTCCACCAGGTAAGTTATATTTGAATTTATGAAATTAACTTATTGTGGCCGACATAATTATTATACAGTACTAACTGTGCAGTTTCTGTGGGGAGCCCCGTCAGCTTCCTGAAGCTTGCATACTGAATAAGTGCCACATTACTTGCAGTCATCAGTTGCAGAGTTTTTGTATGGCTACCAGGAACCACGACTCAGAACCTGGCCACTGCTCACAGAAGCGCAGGGAGCAATGGCCCATGAACACTTTACATTTAAAGTTTATCATCTTGCCTCAGGGAAGGCACCCAGAAAGATATGCAAATCAAAACAGACTACTGCCTAGTTGAAAATGTGACCTTGCCCTCAAAATACCAAAAGAACTCCCCACAAACAAAACAAGCAAGCAAAACTTCATCCAACTAACTCCCCCATCCATTAACTCCACCCCCTGTAGGGGTGGAGAGGGGGAGCTGGCCCAGGTAAGCCAGGCTGCCACCATCCAGTTCTTGACTAATGTGTGCCTGGAGCTCATCCATCGCTCTGGCCTTTTTTTTTTTTTTTTTACTCGGAACTTGGAACTCGGAACTCGAACTGGCTAGTGCTGTCATGCTGAGAGTACTGAACTGAAGTAGAGTACAGAGTCTTCCCCAAAAATGAGTGGGTTACATTCTAAAAGACTTGGCACTTGACTTGGAACTAACTTGTTCCAACCGTCTACTACTCTGTTTGCCAAAGTGAATTTTTTTATATTTCTTCAGCAGCTTTGTTTAGTTAGTTTAAATCTATAACCTCTTGTTCTTGAAGTTCCAGGTCTCTGGAAAAATTCTTGTTGGGGAGTTCTTTTGATATTTTGAACTGAAGGACATAGGTTGTATTTTCATCTAGCCAGTAGTCTGTTTTGATTTGCCTATCTTTCTGTATGCCTTCCCCGGTCGATGGCAAGATGATAAACTTTAAATGTAAAGAGACATGAGGCATTGCTCCCTGTGCCTCTCTGAGGGGGCCAGGTTTTGGCTCATTGTCCCTGATAGGCTTTCAAGACCTTTGCGACTTATGACTCAAAGCAGTGTGGCACTTGATCAGTAAGATAGCTTCAGGGCACTGCCAGGGCTCACCCAGAAATTGGCATTTAATTACATTCAATGCTAGTTTTTTTGCTCCCATCATTTATTTCATGAGTAGTGTTAAGTCTGTGTTTTTAGTGATATTTTGTTTCTAAAATACAATACAGTACTGTCTCTTCTACACTTCTCATGTATATTAAATTATATAAATTAAATTGTTTTCACAGTGTCCAATGTGTGTGCAGCAAGTGATGGAGGATGTCCAGAAACACACCTGTGTCTTCCTAATGGCCGACGAGGTCGTACTTGTGCCTGCACAGATCTTGCTGCACAGGATGAGGAGAACCCCTGTACTGACTACAACTACTGAGTTCCTTAACCTAATCAGAATTACTCAGTAGCATAACTTGATCAAGATCATTTAGTGACTATAGCGTACATAGATTTCAGAATAACGACCTACAGTGTATTAATTAGCAGTTACCGAGTGAACTTTAGTGACATTGCTGCTAAACTCTAGTAAATGTAACCTAATTTTGTGACCACTGCAAAATTTACCTAAACTTATGATCTCTACTGGGTTGATTTAAGCTAATGTCCACTACAGAGTTGACCTAAGCTGATGGTGACTACAACATCGAATTAAGCTGATGACTAAGCTACAGTATCAACCTTAGCTGATGACCAACATGGATTAATTTACTACAGTTGTACTGCTGCCAATTGCAGTATGCTCTAAACTTATGAAAGAAATGTGATACTTAGTAGTGTATGTGCATATTATATATATTTACATATGTACATAGTGCTACAAAAATCATAAAAAATGTGATTTGGAGCCATATTCATACCCTAATATTTCCCATGCACTATGGGCTAATTTCACAGAGTGAAATTTTAATTTCAACCAATCATATGAAGGAAAACTACCATGAGAACCTGTATGTAGTGTGGTTTCACCACATTTAGCACATTTCATATGCCCCAGCCTGTAAACCTCATTTTAGAAGGAAGAAAGGCCCATATTTGAGTGACTGAAAACCAGGGGAACCTCAAAATGAAAAATCATAGAAACTGGTTTTAAATATTCTCAACGCCAAGACCCCATCTCATGCTCCTAATGTTGCAACCATCTACAAAAATCCTTAAACATATGATTGGAGCATTATTAAGTGTTACCATTCATAACCTAATATTTCCCATGCTCTATGGGGTTAATTTTACTTAGCAAAATTTTAATTTCAACCCATCATATGAAAGGCAACTATCAAGAGAACCTGTATATAAAGTGATTTCACCGCATCCGGTATATTTCCCACACTCCCAGCCTTGAAACTTCATTTCCAAAGGAAAACATGTCCATATTTCAGTGAACCAAAACCTTTGTAACTGGAAATGAAAACGAACTACAGAATACTTTTAAATATGCTCAGTGGCTTCCCCAAGACCCCATCTTTCTCTTTTAATATTGCATCCATCTAGGAAAATCATTAAAAACATAATTTGTCATATTAAAGAGAGCATTCATACCCCTAAAATTTCCATGCTCTATGGACTAATTTCACAGAGTGAAATTTTAATTTCAACCAGTCATATGAACGACACCTGCCACTAGAACCTGTCTGTAATGTGAGTTCACTACATCCAGCATATTTCCTATGCCCCAGCTTTGAAACTTCATTTTGAAAGGATGAAGTCCCATATTTTAGTGAAGGAAAATCGCTGAAATTAGTAATGGAAAAAAAACCATAATATTTAGTTTTAAATATCCTCACTAGCTTTACAAAGGCTCCAGCCATTTCATGTAATGTTGCATCCAACTATGAAAATCATTAAAAACATGATCAAGTGAAATATTTATTTCAACCTATCACAGGCAACTTTCTCACCAGTCTGTGAACTCTAGCCCAACATCCTAAGCAAATCAGCACATCCCCCAATTCACCAAACTCTAGTTCGTCAAATCAAATTGGGTGAGTAAATCCAGCCTGAAAAGTGTGTCTTTTAACCAAAAATTTGCAGACGAGGTTTGTTGAACCTAGGTTTTACATGTATATTGTATATCGTGTCTTTGATTAATGATAAAACCCACGAAAAAGTAAGCTGGCTCTTAACTACCTGGAAAGGGTAATTAAAATGGCAATTGCTGTTGATTATATTTTAAGGTGGCTGTAAATATGTCGATGATAATTGCAGGAGCTTAAAGTTAACTACACTTATTATTTAAACTTAAGCTGATTATAAGTATCTGTTAGGATGATTGGAATGAGTCATGCTATTATATAATGAATTTTATTATAAATGAACAATATTTCGGTGTAATGATTTCAACTAATGGTCAACTGGTTAAAATAAGAAAAAGCAATATTCTCAATAATGGAGCCAGTTAGTCATTCATGGAACTGTATTTAAGGTTATTTGTGATGTAATATATTGATACTGTTATATATCATGATCCCATTTATATAGTGTTGCCTATGACACCTTCATTACTTAAGTTGACTGCGCCTCAATAAATATGCATTACTGTAATTAGGAATGTTATCATCGCAAGAGTGAAACCAGTTGTTATGAGTGAATCATAATTCTGATAAACCTTTTTAAGGTAAGTTGTCAATGTTTTAATATGCAGTGTTCAGTGCATTTTTCAACAATCACTCATTGTATGCATCATTAAGTAGATTTGTGAAGTATTATTGATGCACTTTTATAATGACTGAATTTATTCTTGTCATCATGGCCACTAATATCAATTTGTGTATAGTAGAAATAAATTATTTACTTAATCTAAATTTTGTTTGTAATTGCATTGAGAAGGTGTTAATTATTTTATTTTATATTTTTTTGGGTATAAAATTGGATTTTATACATAAAAGATGCACCCTTGCATAGGATGCACCCCTATTTTACAAGAATATTTTGTGCCACATCAGGCCACCAGGGCAGTGCACTCGGCGGTAGTGCACCATCAGAGCACTCTGGTGTTGTTGTTATTCATTCATTTGCAAGTGGCTGACAGGCGGATGAAAGTTGAACATTTCTTTCAAATTTCTAGGATCATTTTTCATTTAGATAATGAATAAATGTGTCTTAAAAGTAACACAGTTGTTAAATAATGAATGACATATCAGGTATGGGTTATGTATTACAGTAAAATGATGTGACCTTCCTTCATAACTGCCGGCGTATAATAAGTTTGTGATATCTCGGCTTGCTATCAATATTTTATTATTAGCAATGACTTTTGTGCCTAGTGGACTTACCCAGTATGCTCGTCCAGCTCCCTAGCCTATATCCCTCGGTCTTCCATCCGTAATCCGGCTGCATTAGATGCAGGGCACTTTTTTGATACATTTAAAAATAATAAAATGCATCTTACATGCCTGCAAATATGGTATTCTGGAATTAAGACTAGAGCAATATCTTATTATCAATACATGTAAAATATTTGAGGAATAAGCCTTTCAAAATCTTTTAGCAGTCTCCGTGGTGTAGTGGTAAGACACTCGCCTGGCGTTCCGCGAGCGCTATGTCATGGGTTCGTATCCTGGCCGGGGAGGATTTACTGGGCGCAATTCCTTAACTGTAGCCTCTGTTTAACGCAACAGTAAAATGTGTACTTGGATGAAAAAACGATTCTTCGCGGCGGGGGATCGTATTCCAGGGACCATAGGATTAAGGACTTGCCCGAAACGCTACGCGTACTAGTGGCTCTACAAGAATGTAACAACTCTTGTATATATCTAAAAAAAAAAAAAAAAAAAATAACTTATTTGATTAGAAATATGATGAATAGTATAAAATCAATCAAATAAGTAGCGAAACCATAAGCACAATTAAAGAACACTGTGTGCATCAGAAGTTCACAACTCTTCAACCAGCTACCAATAAATTTAGGATAAATATATATAGTAGCTAGAACAAAGATTAATGCTATAGTACCAGAACAAAGTATCACCATGAAAATTTAAAAGCCCCACAGGTCCTCAGTATACCTCTAGCTTTGACCTTTAATAATTCATTTGCAAAGAATGTTATACAAAAAAAGGGATAGGGAAGAAACACTTTAGTACAGACCAACATCACTAACAAGCATCCCCCAAAAAACTTTTGTTAGAATAATAGGATAATAAATAACTAAGAGAGGATTAGGTATGTAAACAAACACCAATATAACTTCAGGGAAGGGAAATCATGCCTATTAAACCTACTGGAGTTCTATGATAAAAGCAAATAAATAGTACAGAACAAAATGATGGGTAGATTAAATATTTCTGGACAGCCCAAAAGCTTTTGATAAGTTCTACATAAGAGACTACAACTCAAACTTAAAACTTGAAATACCTAAAAGGATCAGAGAATCACGGTGAGGGGCAAAAGATGTATTGGTTTAGAGCAACACGCAGACGACCTCAAGAATCGGTCATTTATGTTAATGACCTATAAGAGATGAGTCATACATGTTGATGTTTCCAAACAATGCAAAATTAATTAGAAGAGTAAAAATAGATGAAGACTGTAAGATACTCCAAAACAAGCTGCAAAGTTCATCTGAGAAATTGACATTAGATTTCAATGCCAGCAAGTGTAATGGGATAAAAATGAGAACAGGTGACCCTCTATCTAGCTTAGCTAGTTTCATAATGTTGCTGTCATGCGACACTATCCTGACTTACATGAATTGCTTAGTGTAATGTAGTATAACATGTTGTTGACTGTTATTGTGTTCACTTATTTATGCTTGTGGGGGTTGAGCTCTGGCTCTTTGGTCCCACCTCTCAACTGTCAATCAACTGGTACTCACCTAATTGTGCTTGTGGGGGGTTGAGCTTTGGCTCTTTGGTCCCGCCTTACAGCTTTGGTGTACAGGTTCCTGAGCCTATTGGGCTCTGTTATGACCCTGGGTTCCTCAGTGGAAACCAGAGAACCAACTATGTTTACTAATACTGTACTTTCTAATCATTTGTAAAGTAAACCTGAGTAAACTTGGGATATATCTACACTTGATCATATCTACACTTGAAACTGTGTATGGAGTCAGCCTCCACCACATCACTGCCTAATGCATGCCATTTGTCAACTACTCTGACGCTAAAAAAATTCTTTCTAATATCTCTGTGGCTCATTTGGGCACTCAATTTCCACCTGTGTCCCCTAGTGTGTGTGCCCCTTGTGTTAAATAGCCCATCTTTATCTACCCTGTTAATTCCTCTGAGAATCTTGTACGTGGTGATCATATCCCCCTAACTCTTCTGTCTTCTAGCGACGTGAGGTGTAATAATAATAATAATAATAACAATAAATAATAAATTTTTATTCAGGTAAGGTACATACATACAAGGTTAGATACAAAAGTTGATGGATTATAGATAGAGCTAGTACATACAATGCCTAAAGCCACTATTACGCAAAGCGTTTCGGGCAGGAAAAACACTAAGACTAAAACTTAATACTAATTGAGATTAAAGTATAAATTGTGTTGAGAAACAATAAGAAAAAAAAATAAAAAAGGGGGGGAACATGACAGAAAAAAACAAAAATACAATTTGGTCAACAAAACAGCATTGTTTAAAATAGAAGACATGGGTTGACATTTTGGGGGTGAGGTAGGTTACATTGAGTTAATTAGGTAGTACTTAGTTTTTATCTTAAACTGGTTGGGAGAGGTACAGTCTTTAACATAATTGAGAAGGTTAATTCCCATAGTATCTCCTTGTAGCTCATACCTCTCAGCCTGGATACTAGTCTGGTGGCAAACCTTTGAACTTTTTCCAGTTTGGTCTTATGCTTGACTAGAGATGGGACTCCATGATGGGGCTGCATACTCCAGGATTGGTCTGACATAGGTGGTATACAAAGTTCTGAATGATTCCTTGCACAAATTAAGTGTCTAAATGCCATTCTTATGTAAGCCAACCTGGCATATGCTGCTGATGTTATCCTCTTGATATGGGCTTCAGGGGACAGGTCTGGCATGATATCAAACCCCAGGTCTTTCTCTCTCTGACTCGTGTAAAATTTCATCTCCCAAATGATACCTTGTAACTGGCCTCCTGCTCCCTACACCTATCTTCATTACATTATATTTGCTTGAGTTAAACTCTAACAACCATTTGTTCGACCATTCCTTTAGTTTGTCTAGGTCTTCTTGAAGCCTCAAGCAGTCCTCCTCTGTGTTAATCCTTCTCATAATTTTGGCATCGTCAGCAAACATTGAGAGGAATGAGTCTATACCCTCCGGGAGATCGTTCACATATCAGAAACAGGATAGGACCGAGTACAGAGCCCTGTGGGATTCCACTGGTGACTTCACGCCAATCTGAGGTTGTGTATTATCTTATGTTTGTATCACTACATTGGTGACCCAGCGCCATATACCAGGCAGAATGTGGAGCAAACAGCATTGGCAATTGTAACATGCCATCACCACAAGCACACCACTCACTGACTTCTCCTGCCTTGAATTTTTCTAGCTACTCCTTTGCAAAAGCAGCTGTCAGGGCCACTACTACCACCTGCATTCCTACTTATCTGTAACCTGCTGAAGTCTCATCACTGCTATGACAGTGATGAGACTGTCTGAATTCTACAGACTCATCTTAGACTTAGACTACAGACTTAGTCTCTGAATTCTACATCTTACTGCCACTGGCCTCACTGTTTAGTAATTCTTCCTTGTTGCCCTGTCTTTTCTTCAGTGCTGTCTCCACTACACAACTGCCTGTTGTCTGTTCCAAGATCTGTCTTGTCAATATGTCCCAATGCATAAACCCACCGACCACTGTCTGTGTCTAGATTTTTCCTTGTAAGTTCACAGTTACAGCCCCTCTCCTGTGCCAGGTAAGTACACTACGGGTTCACCATAGCCCGTGCTACTTGGAATTTTTTGTTCCAAGTAGCGAATCTTAAACAATAACAACTTGTAAGTTATTATTATAGGCTATTCATGCCAGTACCACCTCTTGGGTGGCTTAATCTTCCTCAATCTTGTAAGTTCAGTATAGCTGTGTTAGTGCAACATAGTGTACTCCTAAAGATGTCACATTGCTGACGAAACATGGGAACAATAAAAATGGAAAGATTAAGTGATCTATCAAATCAAATCAAATCAAATCAAATCAAATGTTTATTTAGGTAAGGTACATACATACAAGAGATTTTACAAAGAGTGATGGATTTATAGATAGGGCTAGTACATACAATGCCTAAAGCCACTATTACGCAAAGCGTTTCGGGCATGAAAAACTTAAATGACTAAAGCTTAATACTAATTGAGCATAAAGAATAAAATGAGTTGAGAACAAATAAAAAAAGAGATAAAAAAGGGGGGTACATGGCTGAAAAAGCAGCACAAATACAATTCTGTAGACAAACATCGCCATTTAAAAAAAAACAGACATTGGTTGACAATAGAGGGGTTACAGTAGGTTACAGGGAATTTATTAGGTATAGCTTCGTTTTTATCTTAAACTGGTTGAGAGAGGTACAGTCTTTAACATGGTTGGGAAGGTCATTCCACATTCTGGGTCCCTTGATTTGTAGAGCATTTCTAGTTTGATTAAGTCGTACTCTAGGAATATCAAAACTGTATTTATTTCTGGTGTGGTGCTCATGGGTTCTGTTACAACCTTCTATGAAGCTTTTGAGGTCAGGATTGGCATTACAGTTCAGCGTTTTATATATGTATAATACACATGAGAGAATGTGCAGTGACTTAATATCTAACATATTCAGAGATTTGAGTAGGGGTACCGAGTGATGTCTGGGGCCAGAGTTGGATATTGTCCTAATA